GCCGAAGAACAACGATTGTCTCAATTGAGACATCTGTCCACACATTACTCGCAACTCCATGTGATCGCATCCAAAGACACGGCTTCCTATTTGGCGAATCCAATCAATGCATATCTTTTGGTCAAACGGTTGACCACTGATTGGCGAGAAGTGGAAACTTTGGTCCATTCGGACAAAAGAAATATAATCGATGTCTTACAGCAAAATGAAACCTTTCCATCGGCTGAAGACTTATCAGGTTTTCATCGCTTTTTACTTTTTTGTTAACTAATTATTAATTAATCAAAACTAATAAAACGATAATTTGTTTGACTTAAGGCGCGGCTGAAGCGTTGCTTCGACTTCAGGACACATATAAGTTGGACACGACTTCTTTAGCCAATGGACTCATTGAGGTTCGGGATATGCGAGGCGTGAAGAAGGGAGAGCTCGGCGTTCAACCGCCCGAAACACGTATGGCGTTAACGGCCAACGACTGCTTCGAGTTGGGACGACAGGCGTATGTGAATCAAGACTATTATCACACCGTTCTCTGGATGCAGGAGGCGTTGGATCGCTTGGAAAGGGAGGACTCGAGCGCACACACCAGTAAAGTGACAATTTTGGAGTACTTGGCGTTCTCCACATACCAGAGGGGGAACGTTAGGCAAGCGCTCAAACTGACCCATCAGTTGCTCGAGTTATCGCCACAACACGAGCGCGCTTTCGGTAACGTTGAGTACTACCAGAAAGAGTTGACACAAGTCAAGGCCAGTAAGAAGAAGGGAGACGAAGGAGACGTACCGCTGGATGAGGCGATCGTCGAGTCTAAGTCGTGGTCTGTAGAGGAGACCGAAAGGGAGGCCTACGAGGCGTTATGTCGGGGAGAGAAGCGTTTGAGTGCCCGAACTGAGTCACAATTAGTTTGTTTCTATCTGAACACAACTGGAATCCCATTCTTAAGACTAACGCACATCAAAGTGGAGGAGAGCTTTAAAAAGCCGCAAATTGTTGTTTTCCACGACTTTCTATCGGATTCTGAGATAGAAGTGGTGAAGACATTAGCGGAACCTAAACTAAAACGAGCGACGGTTCAGAACTCGATGACCGGTAATCTGGAAACTGCCAAATATAGGATCTCAAAGAGCGCTTGGCTTACAAACAGAGAGCATGAGGTCGTCCATAGAATCTCACGACGAGTCAGTGCTGTGACGGGTCTCGACATCACGACCGCCGAAGAGTTACAGGTTGTTAACTATGG